GTGAGGGGGCGGAGGGGGTAGTCTACATGGGACTGGGGTGCTTTAGGCCAGCTAACACTCGCTGCCTGCCCCTCACACCCAGACCAATGCACCCAGAAGGCTGCCCAGGACTTTGCCCAGTTCTACTATGTGGATGATCTGAATGGGAGGCTGTTCTGTGTGACTAAGTGTACCCCGGGGACAAAGTCACAAATGAATTGTCACCAAGGAAAGTGCCAGCTACAGCGCAGTGGCCCCCGCTGCCTGTGAGTACTCAGCCTGTCATCTTGGTAGGCCCCTCCCCCTCCTCCCCCACAGGACAGAGTCGGGGTGGGCAGAGCTTGGAAGGCACCTCCTCCCATGTCCCCTATATCCTTCTTCTCTCTGCCTGGGTGTCCCACCAATCCCACCCCAGGGAGACCAAGAGGTCGGTCTAGATTACAGATATGGATATTCCAGGGCCAAGAAAGCCCCTTTCTGAGAAAGTTCATGTTATCAGCTTCCAGATCTTTCTGGCTCTATCCCTCTCTGACTTTCTCTCTTCTTGTCTCTCTCTCTCTCTGTCTCTATCTCTTACATTATCTCAGCCATGGTGCCTTTATCACTTTCAGCTGGAGCCAGGGTACTAAGTTTGTGAGAATATAAATTACAAAATACGAAATAAAGTAACAGGTTCATCAAGACGCCAGGTGCTTAGAGACTAGACACGGGGAAACGTCGTGTTTCCAGCACAAGCACCCAACACTCTGAGCTCCAGTCATTCTGAATTTCGGCTCTGCAGTTCCTAGGCTGTCCCCCCAAGCCACCAGCCTAGGGAGTCAGGGGCCCAGGTTCCGTGGGGGCCAAGCACCTGCCCTGGGAAGGAGGAATGTGGATTTGCTTCTGAGAGATGGTGAGAGAGATGTGGTGGGTGGCTTGAGCTTCCGTGTGTCGCAGATGCCCCGCCTCGAACACGCGCTGGTACTGGGGAGAGACCTGTGCCATGAACGTCAGCAAGAGCCTCGTGTATGGGATCGTGGGGGCCGTGGTGGCGGTGCTGCTGGTCCTGGTGGCCGTCTTGACCATCTTCTTAGGCCGAGCCAAGAGAAAAGTGAACAGGTGAGCTTGTGAGGCCAGCCCCAAGGCCCAGAGAGCAGGGACAGGCCAGGAAAGGAGCCCAGTGGCCACCACCTGAATATCCCAGGGCCCCACCTTTTACCTCCTAGTGTTTGAGCAGTCAGGGAGACCAGCTAAAATCCAGCCAGAGTCTGAGCCCCTCCCAGCCTTTGCTTAGGATATGACAAAATTCGGACCAGCAGTTGCGAAATTGTCGCTGGACTCCTGTGTAGTCGACCACGATTCAAGTCCCAGACCCGGTGGCTTAAACTCACGCCGGGCGCGTGTGTGTGCGTGCCCAAGATCCCGAGAGGAGAATGGAGGAGAAGGGATTGTGGTGTGGCCATCCCCTCGGGGGGTGATTTCTCACTTTCTGTCTCTCTGTCTTTCTGGCAAGCGCAAGCGCCCTACAGCAAAAACCTCCCCCCAAAACAAACAAACAAAAAGCATAAAAAATAAACCTCACACACACAAAAAAGTTCACTGCAAAGGGGTCAGAGGGTGGTGTGGAGGTTGCAGCACTAGACTCCCACATGGCTAGCTATGGTTC